CTCGGAGTCTCCGGATTTGGGAAGTTTGCGCGGAAGGACCCAAGTGTTTGTCATGGCGTCGTAGGTTTTCAACATGTGGAGCGCGACCCCATGACTGCAAGCCACGCACATTTGATAACCGGTCGCGTTGCGCCCCAGAAACTTGGGAAACAACCCGCGCCGCAATTCCAGACATGCATGAGGTTTCGTCTGGCGCATGCGAAATCCGGTTGAGGCTTGTTGTCTGTTTGTTCCAAGCAGAACGGTCCGGTTGACAGCAAGTTGGCCGTGCGCGCGGTTTGGGGCCAGGCTGGTTGACGCCAAAACCGTAGTGGTTGATACCAAAAACAGGGTGGTTGATACCAAAAACAGGGAACAGAGTGGTTGATACCAAAAAACTGATGGTTGATACCAAAAAAGATTGGTTGATACCACGGATATGGGTTGAGGGAAGGCACGTGGCATCAACAAAACAATTTGCATCAATCGGCGGAAAAGTGGTATCAACCGGCGAAAGGTGGCATCAAGCGGCGGAAAAGCGGCATCAACCGGCGCGAATTTGCGGCATCAGCCGGCGGAAAGTGCATCAACCACCGGAAATTTGTACCAACCGGCTGAGAAGCGGTATCAACCTGCGGAAAAGTGGTATCAACCGGCCACCAAATTGCATCGCATTTGCGATGCCACGCCTCGTGCGACGTCGACGTCAGATCGCCCGCGGCGCCCAAGAGTGGCCCTCATTGCATTCCGCGCGCCGATTCGCGCACGAGGGCGGCGGGAGACAGGAGAGAAGGAGGGCAGGCAGAAGGGCGGAGGAGGAGCAATGGTCTTCGTGGGAACACGGTTGGAAACCCAATGGGCCCGTTTCAATTTGTTCGAAAAGCGCCGAATGCCGTCAAAGGGATCTGCGCTCGCCAGGTGAGATGCAAATCTCCTATCAAATGCAATATTCAATCTCCTCTCTTATCCTCTCTCCTTTTTCCTGGACGCTACGCGCGCCCTGCCCCGCGCGCCTCAAGCAGCATCGGCGTTTAAATGAAACCGGTTGTCTGAGTAAGAGGGCGCATGTGACTCCGAATGGCGATCTCGCGTCAGCGCCGCGTGCGATCGTTGCCAATCTTTGCAACAATTGCACGGGCCGAGTGCACGCGTTACCCGACGCATTTTTCCGTAGCGAAGCAGGAGAGGGAGGAGAATGAATCCGCTGCCCTTCGCGAAGGCCATCCTCAGCACGCCCGAGTGATGACGACCGCGGCGCACAGAAAGCGCAATTTGACCATGGCCCCAGGCTCGGGTAGCAATGGCGAAACGCGGGCACGAGCGGAAGGGTTGTCCTGTGAACGTGGCCGAAATTCTGACCGCTGTACAAATCAAAGGGGAACGAGGCAGGAAGAAAGAGAAGCAGCAGGAGGGGCAAGGGCGGGAAGAAGACCCCACAAATGCAGCCAACACTTAGCACGCAGGTGCCGCCGCTGCTTAGGCTAACAATCACCGACTAAGGTTGTGCGAGCGCGGAGCGATACGAAGCACCCCAAAGTCGTCTCGGTGAGACCGCGCAGAGAGGAAGAGAAGAGGAATAAGTAAAAGAAAAGAAGAGGGAAGGAGAAACGGAAAGGGTGCTCGGAAACATTTGGCGCAGAGTTCGGGCCAACCTGCGATAGGTGAGCCGTTCCGCGCGACCTCGGACACGGCGAAATTTCAAAGCAGAGCCCGAGTTCTGTGAACGACCGCGTAAATTTAGGAGCAGGACGGCGTCGCTTGGGCCAGCGGCGGGCTAGCGGTGGGCCTTTGAAACAAAACTCACGGTTCTTGTCCGTGCGATTGGCCTTGTAAAAGCACGATTCTTGTCGGCACAGGCGCTCCCGCTCGGGCGTTATCCCAGTTAGTGGGATAAGTGAAATGTTATCTCACTAAGTGGGATAACATCTCAGTGTTGCCCTAGTAGGTGTTATCCCACTAGTGATTATCCCACTAGGTGATAGTTCATTAGGTTATGACACTAAGCGTCACCCCACTGAGGTGTTATCCCGCTAAGTGGGATAACACTTCGGTTGGCAACTTCGGATAGATCGCGCATCCGCGAGCCAGCGCTGATTCTGAACAGTTCCGTCGCCGCGCCGAAACCCGCCCGCGTTGCGAGACGGGCGCCGCCCAAACGTGCGATTCCGCGCCTTTGGCGCGGACGCGTTCCAATTCAATTCATCCCTGTCCTGCTGTTGCGTTCGTGGTTGCGTTGGCCGCCTCGCTGTTTGACCAACGCGCAGCCCTTTCGTTCATGCGTTTACGTTCTCGGAAGATCCAATAGCGCTGTTTCGATCGGGCGCGCTCCAGCACAGGGATAGCGCGCGCGGGTGTTCTGCGCCCCGTTGCCACGCCTGCAACGGTTGCCTTTGCCATGCGCAATCTTATTTTAGCCGCCCCAAATACCATTCATTGATTTGAGGACACCCCTACAGATACCATGCGAGCTGTTGAGGCCAATTGGGGTCGCGCTGCGCCAGGTTCCGCCGGGCCACGGCCTTGCCAGGGGCCACGCCATCGAGGGCCGCGTCCCACTGGGGCCCCGCACGCCACGCAACCCTGCCGAAGCCGACATCACACCGCGGCGTACAAGACACAGGCATTGACCAAAACAGAAGGCTAGGGTCATACCCCATCGCCCCAGTGACATGAACTGGCTGCGCCGGTTGGCTCACGGGCGCCAGCACCAGGTCTACGCAAGTACCTGATGCATGCGTAGGCACTGGCGGGTTCCAGGCCAGAAGTTGAGCAGGTCCAGTATAGCTTCAATTGCCTTGCCCCTGGCTGATGGGGCACAATGCGCACATCTGCACCCCGAGTCCTGCCGGATAGCGCAGGACAGGTGGATATTCGCATCACTGCACACAAGATACAATGAGCCTGGATAGCGGACCTTCAACTCCTGCAAGGAATGCAAAACATTCATCTACGTGATCGCATCGCCACCTGGAGCCGGGTAGAATGCGCAAAAAACGAGGTCAGGCGCGGCTGCCTTCGGAGTGTCACTCCATATGGCGAACCACTGGGTCCGCGGGCCAGACGCATCCAGAATCTGCCGCAATGCACCAGAGTTCTTCGCGCGCACATACACCCCGACGGCCTCCCATTCAGTGGATCGCCCCCCGAGCCACGTGCAGGGGAAGCCTGGCGGGAGACATGCGCCAGGTGGAAAGCGGGCGCCCAGCGATACACAGACAGCCACTCCGCGTTCGACAAGTGCGTGCCCCACGTCTCCCAGCCTCCAGTCCAGCAGAGCCTTAGTGCCTAACGCAAGCAAGCCCGTCCTGCCCGGGTTGAGGGTGGCGAAACACAATGGGGCACCAGGGTCCACAGCAGGCAGTCTATGCATCGCAAAAGCTCACGCTTCTAGTTCCGGAAAGGGCCCCGCGCACGGGGGCCCGATGGGGCGCCCGGGAAGTCCCGCCCCCTGGAGGGGTCATCCCACATGAAACGGCGGAGACCGTGCAGGAATGTGGCCCAATGGTCAGCCGCGGCCCCTGACTGACATACAAATGCAGACGAAAGGCAGGAGCGCAAACCTGCAGCGCCCGCATGTTCTTAAAGGCCGCGGCGCGCTCCAAGGGCCGCGGCTCGCCCCCCCGACCACCGCGTGACTACCGCGCGCAGGCAGGCCAAAGGCGCCGCTTCAGGCTCCATCGACCCCCCAGCAGACAGGCGGTCGAGGGCGCCCCAGGGCGAGCTGGCAACAGTTGGGTCTGAGCCATAGGTAATGCTGAATGCAGCTGCAGACCCTGCAGCCGCTATTCACACCTGAGGAGATTCGCGTTGTTAGGGCCACGGGCGGATCAGGTCCCAAGCGGCCTCGGGGAAGCGGGGCGCGGGGACGCCAAGCTTCATGTTCGAACAACGCGGGAACTAGGCCACGCCGGGCCAGCGCGCACGCACAAACAACAGCAAGGATTCCTGTGGCGCGCTTCGACAGCGGGGAGGGGGGGAACCAGGAAGACGCTATCCCTGCAAGCGTGGCGCAGACAGACATTCAATAACATGAAATCGGCCACCAATGAAAACATGCCAACACAGGGTTGCTCACAACCGTTCTCATGGGGGGGGGCGCAGGGAGAAAACAGGGGGGAAGACGCGGACAGGAAGGGTAAGAGGGCGAGAGGAGGGGAGGGCGAAGGCAGGGGGAGGAGGAAGAGAAGGGGCAAGTTCGTTTGAGTAGAGCTCCAGACGACGCCCCCCCCCGGCAACTAGGCGCCGGCAGACCCCCCCCCCTGCAACACAATAAGGCAGCAAGTGACCTCCAGAACGCAGGGCGGCACGGGCCAAACATCGCGTTGCAGCGCAGCCGCGCGCGACCGCGACGCATACAAGTCACAGACAGGCACGCTGGCGTTGCATTCGGTTGGCGCGCGCAGGGCCGCGCCAGGCCCGCCCAACACCAAGCACTGCAACACGTGACAACGCGAGCTTCCTGTTCGCTCGAGGCCTCGGGCAGCGTGCGGCGTCCGCGCGCCAGGGGCCCCCCGCGGCGCGGGCCTGGCTGCGGGGGCCTCGCAGGCCGCCGCCTTGTCAACCAGGCCGCCTGGGCCCATCTTGGGCCCATGCCGCCGCTTGCCCGCGCGCGTTACCGGCGGGCGCCGACTCTGACCCTGCAGCCGATGACGTTCGGCGCCAGCTTCGGACCCCGCGTCTTGCAGGACACCGCCAGAGCGCGCTGCCCCAGCATGTTCTTCTTGCACGTGCCAACCCCGGCACTACCGCTGACGACGTCCGCTTCCAGCTTTGGATCCAATGTTTCTCGGGGTGACGCCAGCGCGCGCTGCCGCAGCGTGTTTTTCTGTTTTTCTGCCTGCGCCGATCTGCCGCTCATGACGTTCGCCTCCCGCATCGGATCCTGCGTCTCGCAGGATGGCGCTCGCCTCCAGCTTCAAATCCTGCGTCTCACCGGATGGCGCCCGAGCGCGCTGCCACAGGGGGCCCGTCCAGCACGCGCCGGCCCCGGCACTTTTTTTTTTTTTTTTTTTTTTTTTTGTCCCTCTCCCAGTCCCAGTCCCAGTCCCTGGCCGAGTCCGCAGCGAAAGGGGCCGCTGCACCTGGCTCCCTCCGGCTGGCCCCCTGGCTGGGCTGCCGACGCCCGCGGTCGCCTTAGGCGGCCCGGCGGGCCCGCCAGCCACCGCGCGGTCTTCGCGCCGCCAGCCGCCGCCGCCCGCCGCCCGCCCGGCCGAGCCGCCCTGCGTGCCTCGGCCTCGGAGCCGCGGGAGCGCTCGAGGCCCTGGCCCGGCCGGCTCCGCTCCGTGCCCGGGCAAGGCCGCCCGCGAAGGCCGCCAGAGCTGCCCCAGCCCGGCGGCCCGCGGCCGCAGCGCCCGCCGGCCCTGCCCGCCTGCCGTAACCCACGACGTCGGGTCCCAGCTTCGCGTCCAGCATCGCGCTGAGCAGCACGAATGCCTGTTGCCACTGCCCCCTCTTCTCGCCCGCGCTGATCCCAGCATTGTAGCTGATGACACTTGGCGCCACCTTCGCCTCCCTCATCTCGCTGGGCAGCGAGAGAGCCCGCTGCCACTGCTCGCCGTTCGTGCACGCGCTGATCCCAGAGCTGTAGCTGATGACACTTGGCTCCACCTTCGCCTCCCGCATCCCGCTGAGCAGTGGGAGAGCCTGCTGCCACTGCTCGCCGTTCGCACACGCTCTGATCCCAGGGCTGATCCCAGAGTTGTAGCTGATGGCATCTGGCTCCGACCTCACTTCCCACATCTCGCAGAACAGCGATAGAGCCCGCTGCCACTGCTCGCCTTTCGTGCGCGCGCTGATCCCAGAGCTGTAGCTGATAACATTCGGCTCCGATCTCACTTCCCACATCCCGCTGAGCAGTGATAGAGCCCGCTGCCACTGCTCGTCTTTCGCGCACGCGCTGATCCCAGAGCTATAGCTGATGGCATCTGGCTCCACCTTCGCCTCCCACATCTCGCTGAGCAGCGATAGAGCCCGCTGCCACTGCTCGCCGTTCGTCCACGCGTTGATCCCAGAGCTGTAGCTGATGACACTTGGCTCCACCTTCGCCTCCCGCATCTCGCTGAGCAGTGGGAGAGCCTGCTGCCACTGCTCGCCGTTCGTACACGCTCTGATCCCAGGGCTGATCCCAGAGTTGTAGCTGATGGCATCTGGCTCCGATCTCACTTCCCACATCTCGCAGAGCAGCGAGAGAGCCCGCTGCCACTGCTCGCCTTTCGTACACGCGCTGATCCCAGAGCTGTAGCTGATGACATTCGGCTCCGATCTCACTTCCCACATCCCGCTGAGCAGTGATAGAGCCCGTTGCCACTGCTCGTCTTTCGCGCAAGCGCTGATCCCAGAGCTATAGCTGATGGCATCTGGCTCCACCTTCGCCACCCACATCTCGCTGGGCAGTGAGAGAGCCCGCTGCCACTGCTCGCCTCTCGCGCATGCGCTGATCCCAGAACTGTAGCTGATGACACTTGGCTCCACCTTCGGCTCCCACATCTCGCTGAGCAGTGGGAGAGCCTGCTGCCACTGCTCGCTGTTCGCGCACGCGCTGATCCCAGAGTTGTAGCTGATGGCATCTGGCTCCAACCTCACTTCCCCAATCTCGCAGAGCAGCGATAGAGCCCGCTGCCACTGCTCGCCTTTCGTGCATGCGCTGATCCCAGAGCTGTAGCTGATGACGCTTGGCTCCACCTTCGCCTCCCGCATCTCGCTGAGCAGCGGAAGAGCCTGCTGCCACTGCTCGCCGTTCGCACACGCTCTGATCCCAGGGCTGATCCCAGAGTTGTAGCTGATGGCATCTGGCTCCGACCTCACTTCCCACATCTCGCAGAACAGCGATAGAGCCCGCTGCCACTGCTCGCCTTTCGTGCACGCGCTGATCCCAGAGCTGTAGCTGATGACATTCGGCTCCGATCTCACTTTCCGCATCCCGCTGAGCAGTGATAGAGCCCGCTGCCGCTGCTCGTCTTTCGCGCACGCGCTGATCCCAGAGCTATAGCTGATGGCATCTGGCTCCACCTTCGCCTCCCCCATCTCGCTGGGCAGTGAGAGAACCCGCTGCCACTGCTCGCCTCTTGCGCATGCGCTGATCCCAGAACTGTAGCTGATGACACTTGGCTCCACCTTCGCCTCCCACATCTCGCTGAGCAGTGGGAGAGCCTGCTGCCACTGCTCGCCGTTCGCGCACGCGCTGATCCCGGAGTTGTAGCTGATGGCATCTGGCTCTAACCTCACTTCCCAAATCTCGCAGAGCAGCGATAGAGCCCGCTGCCACTGCTCGTCTTTCGTGCACGCGCTGATCCCAGAGCTGTAGCTGATGACGCTTGGCTCCACTTTCGCCTCCCAAATCTCGCAGAGCAGCGATTGAGCCCGCTGCCACTGCTCGCCGTTCGTACACGCGCTGATCCCAGGGCTGATCCCAGAGTTGTAGCTGATGGCATCTGGCTCCAACCTCACTTCCCACATCTCGCAGAGCAGCGATAGAGCCCGCTGCCACTGCTCGCCTTTCGCGCACGCGCTGATCCCAGAGCTGTAGCTGATGACGCTTGGCTCCACCTTCGCGTCCCACATCTCGCTGAGCAGTGGGAGAGCCTGCTGCCACTGCTCGACGTTCGCATACGCGCTGATCCCAGGGCTGTATCTGATGCCATTCGGCTCCAACCTCACTTCCCGCATCCCGCTGAGCAGTGGTAGAGCCCGCTGCCGCTGCTCGCCTCTCGCGCGCGCGCTGATCCCAGAGCTGTAGCTGATGACTCTTGGCTCCGCCATCACCTCCCGTCTTCCTCCTCCCCCTCCACGTCCTGACTCCCTGGCTCGCTGCCACTGCCTGCTGACGTCGAGCGCGGTTATCTTCGCCTCCTCCTCCTCCTCGACCTGGTCCTGCTCGTCCGCTGCCTTCTCCTCCTCTTCTATTTCCTCCTCTGCCGCCTCGCTCTCCTCCCTGGCTCGCTGCCACTGCCGCTGCCCATTTTTCGCACGTGCGCTGGCCCCAGCGATGCAACTGATGACGTTGGGCCCCAGTTTGGGAATCAGCAGCGCCACAGCCTGCTGCCACTGCTCCCTTGTCTCGCAGGCGCGGGTGGGTCTGGACTCCAGGCGGGGGTGGGGCGGGCGGGGGACGGAGGACGAGGGGGCGAGGGGCACGAGCCGGGCCCGAACGGCGAGGGGCGAACGACGCGGGGGCAGGGGGCGAACGAGACGGGACCGAGACGAGGGGACAGAGGCCGAGGGAAAGGCGAGGGGAAGGGGCGGTGGGCGTCGTCGGTGCGCGCCGTCGTGCAGGTGCGCGTCGTTGCTGCTGGTCGTTGCAGGTGGTGCCCGTCGTTGCTGGGGGTCGTGTTGCCGGTCGGAATTGGTGCTGGTCGCAGTCGTGGTGGTGCTGCTGCTGGTCGTGGTCGTGTTGGTGGTGCTGCTGCTGGTTGCGGTCGTGGTAGTGCTGCTGCTGGTCGCAGTCGTGGTGCTGCGGGTCGTAGTCGTGGTGGCGTTGGTGGTCGCAGTCGAGGTGGTGCTGGTTGTGCTGGTGGTGCTGGTCTTGGTGGTGGTGCTGCTGCTGCTGGTCGCAGTCGTGGTGGTGCTGCTGCTGGTCGCAGTCGTGGTGTTGCTGGTCGCAGTTTTGGTGCTGCTGGTCGCAGTCGTGGTGGTGCTGCGGGTTGCAGTCGTGGTGGTGGTGCTGGTAGTGGTTCTGCGGCTGGTCGCAGTCGTGGCGCTGCAGGTCGCAGTCGTGGGGCTGCTGGTCGCAGTCGTGTTGGTGCTGCTGGTCGCGGTTGTGCTGGTGTTGCTTGTCGTGGTGGTGCTAGTAGTAGTAGTGGTGGTGCTGGTTGTGCTGGTGGTGCTGGTGCTGCTGTTGGCCGTGGTGGTGGAGCTGCTGGTGGCAGTCGTGGTCGTGCTGCTGCTGGTCGTGGTCGTGGTGTTGTTGGTGGCAGTCGTAGTGCTTCTGGTAGTAGTCGTGGTGGTGCTGCTGGTCGCGGTCGAGGTGGTGCTGCTGCTGGTCGTGGTGGTGCTGCTGCTAGTCGCGGTCGTGGTGGTGCTGGTTGTAGTCGTGGTGGTGCTGCTGGTCGCAGTCGTGGTATTGCTGGTTGTGCTGGTGGTGCTCGTCGTGGTGGTGCTGCTGGTCGCTGTCTCGGTGCTGCTGCTCCCGGTTGCGGTCGTGGCGCTGCTGGTCGCAGTCGTGGTGTTGCTGGTCGTGGTCGTGGTGGTGCTGCGGGTCGCGGTCGTAGTGGTGGTACTGCTGGTCGTTGTCGTGGTGGTGCTGCTGCTGGTCGCAGTCGTGGTGCTGCTGGTCGCAGTCGTGGCGCTGTTGGTCACAGTCGTGGGGCTGCTGGTCGCCGTCGTGTTGGTGCTGGTGGTGCTGCTGGTCGTGGTGGTGCTGCTGGTCTCTGTGGTGCTGCTGCTGGTCGCAGTCGTGGTGGTGCTGGTCGTAGTGGCGGTGGTGCTGCTGGTCGCAGTCGTGGTAGTGGTAGTGCTGGTTGTGCTGGTGGTGCTGGTCGTGGCGGTGCTGCTGGTCGCAGTCTCGGTACTGCTGCTCCCGCTTGCACTCGTGGTGCTGCTGGTCGCTGTCGTGGTGCTGCTGGTCGTGGTCGTGGTCGTGGTGGTGCTGCGGGTCGCAGTCGTGGTGGTGGTGCTGCTTGTCGCAGTCGTGGTGGTGGTGCTGCTTGTCGCAGTCGTGGTGCTGCTGGTCGCAGTCGTGGCGCTGTTGGTCGCGGTCGTGGGGCTGCTGGTCGCCGTCGTGGTGGTGCTGGTGGTGCTGCTGGTCGTGGTGGTGGTGCTGCTGGTCGTTGTGGCGCTGCTGCTGGTTGCAGTCGTAGTGGTGCTGGTCGTAGTCGTGGTGGTGCTGCTGGTCGCAGTCGTGGTGGTGCTGCTTGTGCTAGTGGTGCTGGTGGTGCTGCTGGTCGTGGTGGTGGTGGTGCTGCTGGTCGTAGTCGTGGTGATGCTGCTGGTCGCAGGCGTCGTGCTGCTGGTCGCAGCCGTGGTGCTCCTGGTCGTGGTCGTGGTGGTGCTGCGGGTCGCTGTCGTGGTGGTGGTGCTGCTGGTCGCAGTCGTGGCGGTGCTGGTCGCGGTCGTGGGGCTGCTGGTCGCCGTCGTGGTGGTGCTGGTGGTGCTACTGGTCGTGGTGGTGCTGCTGCTGGTTGCAGTCGTGGCGGTGCTGGTCGTAGTCGTGGTGGTGCTGCTGGTCGCAGTCGTGGTGGTGCTGCTTGTGCTAGTGGTGCTGGTGGTGCTGCTGGTCGTGGTGGTCGTGGTGCTGCTGGTCGTGGTCGTGGTCGTGTGGTGCTGCGGGTCGCTGTCGTGGTGGTGGTGCTGCTGGTCGCAGTCGTGGTGGTGCTGCTTCTGGTCGCAGTCGTGGTGCTGCTGGTCGCAGTCGTGGTGCTGCTGGTCGCAGTCGTGGGGCTGCTGGTCGCCGTCGTAGTGGTGCTGGTGGTGCTGCTGGTCGTGGTGGTGGTGCTGCTGGTCGTTGTGGTGCTGCTGCTGGTTGCAGTCGTGGCGGTGCTGGTCGTAGTCGTGGTTGTGCTGCTGGTCGCAGTCGTGGTGGTGCTGCTTGTGCTGGTGGTGCTGGTGGTGCTGCTGGTCGTGGTGGTGGTGGTGCTGCTGCTACTGGTCGTAGTCGTGGTGGTGCTGCTGCTTGTCGCAGTCGTCGTGCTGCTGGTAGCAGTCGTGGTGCTCCTGGTCGTGGTCGTGGTGGTGCTGCGGGTCGCTGTCGTGGTGGTGGTGCTGGTCGCAGTCGTGGTGGTGCTGCTTGTGCTGGTGGTGCTGGTGGTGCTGCTGGTCGTTGTCGTGGCGGTGCTGGTCGTAGTGGTGGTGGTGCTGCTGGTCGCAGTCGTGGTAGTGCTGGCTGTGCTGGTGGTGCGGGTCGTGGTGGTGCTGCTGGTCGCTGTCTCGGTGCTGCTGCTCCCGGTTGCAGTCGTGGTGTTGCTGTTCGCTGTCGTGGTGCTGCTGGTCGTGGTCGTGGTCGTGGTGGTGCTGCGGGTCGCTGTCGTAGTGGTGGTGCTGCTGGTCGCAGTCGTGGTGGTGCTGCTGCTGGTCGCAGTCGTGGTGCTGCTGGTCGCAGTCGTGGCGCTGCTGGTCGCAGTCGTGGGGCTGCTGGTCGCCGTCGTAGTGGTGCTGGTGGTGCTGCTGGTCGTGGTGGTGGTGCTGCTGGTCGTTGTGGTGCTGCTGCTGGTTGCAGTCGTGGTGGTGCTGGTCGTAGTCGTGGTGGTACTGCTGGTCGCAGTCGTGGTGGTGCTGCTTGTGCTGGTGGTGCTGGTGGTGCTGCTGGTCGTGGTGGTGGTGGTGCTGCTGGTCGTAGTCGTGGTGGAGCTGCTGCTGGTCGCAGTCGTGGTGCTGCTGGTCGCAGTCGTGGTGCTCCTGGTCGTGGTCGTGGTGGTGCTGCGGGTCGCTCTCGTGGTGGCGGTGTTGGTGGTGGTTCTGCTGCGGGTCGCAGTCGAAGCGATGGTGCTGCTGGTCGCCGTTGTGGTGGTGGTGGTACTGCTAACCTCCTCGTGGTGCCCGCTGCCGTGTCGGGGGTGCTCCCGGCGCTCGTCGGAGCCCCCCGGGGCGGCCGTGCTGGCCGCGGCGCCAAGCATCAGGGGCGTGCTGGCAAGCGGCTAGCGGGTGGGCCGGCGGAGTCTGCGAGCAGCACTTCGGCCAGGTCTGGGTCGTCCTCCCCGGCGGCTCCCCCCAAGGCTAGGTAGCCGTCGCCCGTCAGGGTGGCCATGAGCGAGTCCTGGGCCGCGACGCTCAGGAACCCCCACCAGCGGTTGGTGTACGCGAGCTCCGCGGAGCGGTGGAGGAGGGCCGGCGCGGCCCGCGCCTTCTGCTTGGCAAGCAGGCGTACCAGCTGAAGGGAATCGCGGCCCCACCTGCCTCCGACCTCGCAGGAGAGGACCATGAGGCGGCCTGAATGGCCGGTCGTGAGTTCGTGGTACCTGCGTCGTTTGCGCCTTTCGGCCCCAAGTAGCGCGGCGCCGTCGGTGTCGAAGGTGCGCGGCCGGTGCCAGCCGTCCCTGCGGAGGGGGGACACCATGGTGCTGTCGCAGCACAGCGGGACGCCGTTCGGCGAGATGCCGTAGACGACTAGGTCTAATTGTCTGCGGTCCAGCGGGTTGTGGACAACGGCGTTAGTGTCCCGCAGCAGCTGTTGGGGGACAACTCTCCCTCCTGCTTCTCTGGCGACCCTCGCCCAAGCTCGTTCGAGCGGTTTCGCGCGTCTGGCGAGAAGCCCCGTGCGTGGGCACGCGGCTAGGTGGTCTC